GGGGGGAAGAACAGCAGTGACCAAACTTTTTGACCTCTCTGCACCTCCTACTCCCCCCTCTACCTCCACACTGCCTCTCTTCCTGCAGTAAGAGAGACAAATTTAAGGCCTCCAATAATTAGGTTTGACTCATGGAAAATTATAACAAATTTATAAATGTTTCATGTATAAAATCTAATTAGTGGGGTGCTGTCTAAATAAAGGTCATCATGGATTCGGGTAAATGCAGTGCATAGATAGATACATGTCCCTCCAACCTACTAGTTCCCCATTATTCACCTAAGAGGAAATTAGATGGATTTGTCAGGAAAAGATTATGTCAAACCAAGGTTGGCTGCTGATCACCTTGTTATCCTTTAGGTGCTTATGAATGGATTCTGGAATAAATTATTAAACTATCTTTGCTGAAATCAAAGCTAGGCTGCCTGATTTGTAATTCACTGGGTCATCTTTTTATTCTCAACTTTTTCTTATTCTGGTCTGCTCTTCTGTTTCCATTCAAAATTCCACTTGCTTAAAAATGTATCTGATCACTATGAATCTCTCTGTGAAGACTGAAACAGAGAAGATACTAAAATACTTCAGCCTCAATTTTTATTTTCTCTCCTTCCTTATTTAGTAATTTGTCCATACTTCTCTTTTTTCACCTCTTACTTCTAAGGTATTTTATAGAACCTTGCTTGCGGCCTTTAAATTCCTTGCTAGTTTAAACGTCTAATTTTGCACCTATATTCCCAAATTTATACTATTCCTTTAATCTTATCTTAAGTGACATACCTTTGTTTCCGTTTTTGTACGCTTTTTTTTTTTTTTTTTTTTTTTACTTTTTGTGCTTAAAAGAGTTTTTTGATGCTGCCCTAAAGACATCTTATTAAGTTTCCTATTCTTCCCTTCCCTCTATGTTGGGATGACCTGACATTGAGCATTTAATATAATTTATTTTAGTAACCAGCTCTCCTCCACTCCTTTAACCCTTAGATTTTCTTCCCAAGACACCCAACCCAGGATCCTGAGTTTGTCAGAGTCAATAGGTTAATGATCCTTTTTCTGCTTCTTCCTTTTGTTTAAATAGCGAATTTATCATTCCATGATCACTTTCACATTTAGATATTTAAATAGGCCCTCTCTGCTAGACAGAACCAATTCTAAAAAACGGTAACTTTCTCCACCTTCTGAAACAAAAAGTTGCAATTCAGATTCTTGGAATGTGCTGAGAACTGTTCAAGACTCAATGTTTTAACTGGCCTCTACTGAATGTACTAAGACAGAAAAGTCAATAAATGTTACTGCTAAATATTCGTTCAGTTATTGCTTAAAGCTCAATAGGGTTATCATACACAAAAAAACAGCTTACCTTGTCTAGTATTGATTTTTATCCATTCTAAAAGTTCTTCCTGTGGCAAATTGCTAAATTCTCCCACAATGTTCCATTGACTCTGAAGGTTCGCTGATCCTTCTATTGCCATTAATGCTAAAATGCCAAAGATCAATGTTTTGGGCTGGATTTTACAAAAAAGCCATCCAAACAACTGAAACAGAAGAACCAATGAATTGCCAGATGAACATTCTGTAATACAGTGGACAAGCTTGATACTTATTTTCAGTAGAAACATGTTAATGCACATTACAAAACAAAAAGTCAGTTGTCAAGTGTCTCGTGCTACTTTTATTGACATTAGCAGGAGTCTTGCTGTCAGCTTCAAAAGAACCAGGCTCTTTAACTGTTTCTTTGTTGACTAGCGCGCACTACACCCTTCTTTCTTACAAAATGCAAAGAAAATGTAAATAAGTAGAACCTTAAAAACTGCACGTAAAATAAACTCGAGCAATGTACCAATGTCAACTGCACCTACACAGTATTTTATCTTCTTACCAAATTAAGTGCTTAGTATATTCTTGGATGTTAAATGGATATGATAAAAAAGCAACATTATTTTCAGAACCTTCAAATGCAAATCAGAAAGTTTAACTTTTATATTGCTTTATATCTACTTTCTCCTTTGCTGTGCTGCAAAAATACTGACTTTACATTAAAATGACTAAGGTAATAAACACTGCAAAATATTATTTTTAATTCTCTATTGTTTGGTTTGACCAAGAACAACTTAATGCAGACATACTTCACCTAAATCCGAGTTCCCGAGGAAATATACCTTGTAATTTTTATCAACTTGTTTAAGTATAAAATGTAAAGCCTTTTTAAAAAATGTACAACACTTGCATTCACTAAAGTTATTCCCATTAATCAGAATTTATGAGGATGCTATCCTCTTGCACCAGGGCTGTCCAACTGGAGGCTCATGAGGAATCAGTTTGCAGCCTCCCAGGCTCCTGCCCAGCCATCAGTCCATCTATTCTTTTTGCAGTGGCAGCCAGGATCCCCTTCCCTGTTCTGGGTTCTAGTTCCAGGGGGTGGGGTAGCACAGCAGAAAGGGGCCAGGCCAGGCTAGGCTGTCTGCTGCACGCGCAGAAAGGGATCTGTGTGAGCTGCATGCTTGGAAAAAGAGGAAGCCAGGCTGCCCATGCTGCAGGTGGGCTGGCTGCCTGCCTGTGCAATGCACAGGGCAGGGGACTGAGGGTGCTGCATGCATGGATAAGGGGAGCTGTGCTGGCACAGACAAGCGTGCAGGGTGTGAAGACCTTGGACCTCTGTCTAGTGTTGTGTGTGGCCCCGGGCTGCCAAGAAGCTGGACCCTGTCTTAGACCATAAATTGAACTGGCTCTCTCCAAAGAGAAAGCATTTTGTCCTTCCACTCTGCAAATGAACAAGTTCAGTAGAACTTGAAGCAAGACGAAGTACACAAAACAAAACGTGCTACTGAATTTTTTCTATTACTGAGAATATTAAAAAAGTGCCACCCAGTAATCAAAACGTTATATCCTACAACCTTTGCTGTATTAATAAAGGCTTTCTACAAGGGGAGGTTTGCGAGTGGTGGGCTGCACCAATGTAGAGACCTCCACGTGTATGCAATGTTATTTCCAGTAAAATTATTGTGGTGTTTTTACTCCTGTTGGAATGAACAGTAAATTCATCTAACAGTAAGTTACAGGGTAGTAGCAAAAAAAAGGCTTCCAAGTGCGGTCAACTACCTATTATACTGTGGTGAGCTGGGCAAGTTTTTGACATGAAAAGCCGGAACTGATCTACATTTAATTTTCAACAGGAGCAAAACAAGGAGAATTCCACGGTTTGCTTTACAAAGCTGCACCTGACAACAAGGAGCTGTTTGATGTGTGGGAGCCCAAAGAACAGCCCAGAGATAGACATGAACATCCAGTCCACCGGCCCAATTGCTACTCAGTTTTCCACCCTTGAAAATGCTCAAGCTGCCAGCAGCATTGCAGAAGACCTCATTACATATGCCTGATAAGTTACTGAAACACTTGTATTTTATTTCTAGAGCTGGATGCTGCTATCTGATGCAAGTTACTATTGCAAGTTTTACTCCTTTTCTTTCCTGGTTCCCTCCTTTCCTATTAAGTTATCTTCTGCACACTCAAAACAGTGACTACAGTCAGCAAGAATGTAAAACCCAGCCTGTCAGGCACTGTTCCCTCTCTCCTCCTTCAATTCAAGTTCTCTCTCTCATCCTCCCTCCTGGTATAACTTCCTCCCCCTGGCACACTTAAAATGGTGACCACACCAATGTATGCCCTTCTGCCAGCTGCCTCTCCTCCAACAGTGGGCTAGCTACTTGCAACAGTGTGTATTCACCTGCTGACTACACAGATTCAAAAGAACACCTTACAGAAGGTAAATTATGGAATGCTTGGTTCTCAAAGAATACCATTCTTTTTGATCAAGCAATTTATGTTCAGACAGTATGTACAGCTTATCAGTACAAACTTTACTTGGGCGTATGTTTCTCAGTAAAAACAGACTAAAAAGTTACATGGCAAAACGAAGCAATAAACAGCTAGAAAACACAGGGCATGCCTACATGTGATGCTACATGACCGTAGCAACATGCTTCGGTGACAAAGTCTGCCAGCATCTACACATGACCAGCAGCTACACTGCCATAGCAACATTCCCCTGGTATAGCATGCCACTATGGGAAAGTAGCTACTAAAAATAACCATGCATCGCACGTACAGAGCAGTATGGGCTGTTACTACGTCACGATTTAGTGCTTCCTTCCTATGGCAGTGGAGTATCACGTGTAGACACGTTCTGTGTTTCCCAACTGTTTATTACTTCTTGCTGCCGTGTAACTTTTTACTCTGTTTGTACTGAGAAACATATGCCCAGGTAAAGTTTGTGCTGCTGGCAGCCTTTTGGAAGTACTAAATCATGGCACAGTAAAAACATCACCATAGTGGCACATGTAGATGCACCCACAGAGACATGGTACCAACATTAATTCCTATGTCGCAGACCTACTGAAAAGCAGTGTTAATGGCACAACAGAACTTTGAACAGAACCGAAAGAGATATCAAGTGGCATTTTAGATGCAGAAAGTGCTCCAGTAGGGCTCTAATATCACATGGCAGGCCATCAATCTCCCTCATTTTCAAATACGTATCTGTTCCAGCAGTGCAGGACAATTCAGGTGTATAACAGCAAGAGATTTCTTGCTGGGTTCCCCTTGGCCTTTGTAAATAAGCAATTTCTTTGCCGTCTTGTCACACAGATAAAGAATATTTTCTAAAATTTATGCTGCTTGGGAAGTGTGACTACGATCACTAGCTGGCTCTCTCAGGTCCCTTCTCATTCCTTCCAAACCTATGCTCTGAAAACACTGAGAATAAGGGTGCAAACAGACATAATTCTTGTGCCACAATAAACATTTTTATGGCGGCACAGGTTGTGGGCAAACAGATATCCTAGCGCCTCCTCACATTTCAAGTGCCCAAAAACATTTGCCATGAACAAAGGGAGTCGCAATTTGTGATGTCTTAAGAGAAAAGCATCCATTGAACTAGTGTGTGCCCTAGTAATCCCTTTGCAGGGGATTCCTGCAGCACGTATATCAGGCTGCTGCACGCCGACTTGGGGCACATGCCGGCAAACAGGAGAAGTCTCATGGGGTCACAGGATTCCATGGGGATTCACCTGCTTGCAGATGTCTGCCATGGAAATCTCCTGCAAGGGATTCCTGATATGCATATCTTGCTGCCAAATCCCAACCTGAAGTATTGCACTCTAGAACCATAGGATCAGGCCCCTGAAGCCCTAGGAGAGGCAAAAAAACTGACCCTCTGGGGCAACAGCCCTGGATGACAGCTGTGAACACCAATGAAGCAGATCAACTTTACCAGAACACATGCTGGCACAGCTGATCCCACTTCAATGATGCCTGTTTATACCTTCATCAGTAACCTAATTCTGTTAGCTCTCTACAGTGAAAAGCAGTACAACAGAATGGTAATCCAACATGCCCCATAAAGTGCAGTTGAACAGCTATTTAGTGGTAACAATTTATGTAAGCTAGGGAGGTTCCCTGCATTAAAGTAAATGGGAAAAAAGGAGGAAAAGGACATCTTGCCAGAATTACTCAATGAAAAGCTCTGAGGATGATCCCTCAAAACTGTCAGGTGAAAGCAATTAGTTACCCAGAAAACTGCAAAAGGACCAACTGGTTGTTAAACTGCTTGCCTTAAGCGTTCCACACCTGAGGTGTCCAGGCCCTCTAAGACACACTGCCCAACATCTGGCAAAATAAATATTTAACTAAAATGTTTAGTGACTTGGCAGATGCTTCTGAAAAGTGAGTTCAGTCAACTCAGTTACAGAGGTTCTGAGAATGGAAAACTGCAGGATAGAGGCCCAAATGGAAGGTTTCTCAGTGACCAGGAGCTGGCAAAGCAAAACTTTGCTGTGACCCAGGAGACTGCTGAAAAAGACAAGATGATGCAAAAACACAATGAAATTAAGGAGAAAGGTTTCTACAATTTTGGGTGCTCAATATGAGATGACTTATTTTCAGAGTATGTTGCATGTTAATAGTACTGCGTGTGTAAAGCAAAACTTCCATCAGCTTTAGCTGCAACCATTAGCACTCACCACTTCTGCAGATCAAACCAAAATCGGGCACCCAGAAAAAGAACAAAATTAATTAACTCACCTGAACTGCACTGGTCTAAGTGATTTGCACAGCATTCAGACAAATACCAGGGACAGAACACAAGCCTCCCTTCATCTCAGCCTCACACCTGCCCATATTGGATTTTAGTCTTTTTGTCTCAGTCCCCTGTTATCATCAGCTCCACATCTGGTGTCAGTGTCCCCTGCCCCACCACTTTACTCACCCCTCACTGGCTCTCAGCCCCTTGCCTACCCTATCCCAGTCTCTGCCTTACTCTAGGCTCCCTGTTTACATGCCAAACTAATCCCAGTTCATCCAGAAGTAAACACCTCATTCAGAAAGTTTCAGCCCTTAAGGTTTGGCAAAGTTATAAGCAACTGTAAAGAATATCTTATATTGAGAATTGCCAGGTCCCCTGAGCACTACATACATAAAACCAAAGTAGTGTAGACTACACAACTTTGTACACTCTATACAATGCCGGAGTGAAGTCCATTTACTACAGATTTTCCTATAATTCTCAAAATTGTTGTTCTCTCAGGTTCATTAGTGAAAAACCTACAATGTTTCTATGCATAACCGTTTCCTTGCATATATTCCACATCTGGGGAAAAAAAATGGTCAATTTCTTACAGGAGGGTATAAACAGATGAAATGTTCTCCTCCACAGCCTTTTGTTCTGGGATCCTACAGATGTTCCAGTCCACTGGCTGGCTTTAAGTGCTTGTGAAGTATATGAAATAAAATATGCTAATACTTTTTTTCCTGGGACAATGCTGTAAATTAATTGCAGCTAATTCAAGTTAAATTGCCAGTTACTCTAGGGATCAGCTCATTAGGCTGTGTTCTCTCTGGCCACCTACTGGTAGAGAAGCAGTAATATAACTTGAAAGAATTACATGGCATGCCCTGGGTTTTGACCTGGATCAATCAGGACCACCTCAAATGAGACAGCTGTTTATAGCCTGAGTGATTTAAAACTGTAAGTTATATCCTTATTTCCATCAAGGTTTGTCTTCAAAGAAGCAAAATGCTTTCAGCTTCAAGCTATATTCCCAAATTAATAATAAATTACATTAGGTGCTTGAGTAAGTGATTCTAATGTTAGAGAAAAATGGAATAATTCCCAAATATTAAAATAAATTTAAAAGTTGATATAAACCTGCAATGGCAATGGAATGTATAATTTAAAGTTAATGAAAAAAAATGTACTTCCTGTCTTTTTATAAAGGAAGTTGAGTAACAAGACACAATTAAGTAAACATTTAATTAAATGTTAATATCTGCTTGGAGACAGGATTTTTATTTACTACTTCAGTATTTGCCTTTAAATGCTCGAGTCAAAAAATTCAGCAGCCTTCAACTTGTATACTTGTATGATTTTAGACAATATATTATGGTAGCATCACAAGTACTGAGGAGAAGGCTTCAGGGTTAAAAAAAAAAAATCTTACCTGCTTTGAACATATCAAGGAAGCCATAACACACAGGTGAGGTGTCAGAAATAGCTTCAGTCTCATAATTAAAATACCAAGTACAGTAAATGCCACTAGCTGCAATACATGGTATACCAGCTGCAGAGAAACACACCACACAAAAGATAAGCTAACATTCCTATATCTTTTCATTCAAATAAAAGGTTATTTTATTACAATTCTTAAACTGGACTCATTTGAAAGCTTGTCTTTCTACCAAAGTAAAAAAAAAATCTTCCAAATTCAAGACAAAGTGTAAATGAGTGTCCTTTTCCTTCTGCTCAGGTTAAGTATGCTTAGTTGTGGATGAAAAACATAAATGGAAAAAAGGAGGAGGAAGAGCAGCATGAAAAAGATGGCTAGAGAGGTGACTTAGTATACGGGAGGGCATGAAGCAAGACAGGTAGCCAATAATGTTTGAAATGTTTCCTGTATAAGTCACTTAAGTCTCTCTACTGCTTGCAAAGTTATTTAAATATTGGTTATTGGATCAGTATTGGACAATACGGCTGGTTAATAATTGGCTATCAGTATCGGCCACAAAAATCTTTATCGGTGCACACCTAAAATCTAATACTATTGAAAAGGGTACTCTTCAAGCAAGGGCCACACATCAAGAAAATACTAAAAGCTAGACTTAATGGTGGCTTATTTATATTACAAATATTTTTATATCTTTTTTTGTTTCAGTAAAAGCATATAGCTATAAAAAGTCACTCTGGTGACATATGGAAAGCAATACTGAACAGGGAATGGGGAATTAGACATGAAAACTTAGCTTTGAACAAGCATCCAATCATACAGAGATCATCCTGTTTAAAAAAACATTAGGAAGAAGCACATCAAATCAAGCAGATGGAAGCCTTACCTCACCATGATTAAAACGCTCCTCTCTGAATAAAAAGAAAAAAAATATTTGTTCATATTAGAATAATTAATAGGAAAGCAGAAGTTTTCTTAAATGATTTGTGAGATCTATACAATTAAACAGAACTAAATCAATAATACTGGCACAAACATTTTTTTGCCATAGATTTCATTAAAATCAGGCAGAAGGGAAGGCAAGGTGGTACAGATTAAGTCATTCAAAGAGCCATAAGCTTCTGTAGACAACAGCCTTTTTGTCAGATGCTATGAATACCTGTGAATACTATGAATAGCAGCTGACAAAAATAGGCTGTCACTTACAAAAGCTTCTGCCTCATGAATTAGTCCCATCCTGCCTTGCCTTTTGACTAACTTCAGACTAACAGTTGCATGCAACTCTTGATACAGTCAGATAACTATTTTCTCTCCATTACGTATTAGTTTATCTTCAAAGGATGAAAAATGAGCTTTACATGTTTTCATGACTATGAATAATTTTACAGATTTAAGTTCTTGGACACTGAACCTAAGCTCATGAAGTAAATATGTTAATTATGACAGTCAGTACTGATTACAAAAAAGTCAATCATTTATACAGTTTCTGGCTCATTTGGAGAAAATGATGGAAGTTATAACTTAGGTCTCAGCAAAAAAGTAATCACAGAAGAAATTAACTTTGCTACTGAATCACTGCAAATCTATTTTCAAACTAATCCATGTATATATACATATACATATACACACACACACACACACACACACACACACAATATGTATAGCTACTGTGCTCATAAAACTGTGAGAACAGAATCCTGAATCTCATATTTGTTGAAAATTCAATGGAAGACTACATCTGCTAAAACAAACACAAAAAACCTAATAGCAGAGAAACAAAAAAGGGACCACAGTGGGGAACTAACAAATTTCTGGTTGCCTAGTTCATCACTGTTGAATGTTGGAGTCAGTGACAGGTATCAAAACAGACTTCAAAATAACATACAACTAAAAATGAAGATAAATGCGGTGCTGGGTAAGGCGGCAGTAATTTGTCCAGATCAAACACCAGCTGTATAGTACAGCTGTGCAAAGCTTTGGTAGCTGGTTTGATTCAGACAAGATTCGCCCCAATTCGGGGACTGAATCTGAATCGAATCGGGAGACCAATTAAAAACTCCAAATCAATCTGGAAAAGCTTTGGCCGCTTTGGAGATTTGGCCATAGGCTAAACAGACAGCTGACACAGCTACCTCCAGCTGGTAAGTATGTTGGGGTTGGTGGGAGGAAAAGGGCGTGGGGGAGGGACTGGGACAAGCTGCCCAGCCCAGCCTGGGGGCGGGAGGGGAGGATGCTTAGGGTTTGTGGCACAGCCCCCACACACACAGTGGGGGGCAGCGGGGAATACCCTAGCCGCCTGGCACCCATGCAGCACCTGCCCCATTGCATGGGTACTGCGCGGCTCTCCAGGGTGCCGCATGCTGTCTGGGAGCTGGGGCAGCTCCACGCGTCAGCCAGAGCCTGGCAGCACTCAGCCTCAGGGGCCCCAGTTCCCAGGCAGTGCACAGTGCCCTGGCGAGCCACACAGCACCCATGCCATGGGGCAGCTGCTGTGCGGGTGCCAGGTGGGGGGAGGAACGATCCCCACTCGCCCCCACTGTTGCAGGGGGGCTCTGCCACAAGCCCTCAGGAGGCCTCAGTTGCCGCTACCAGAGCCATTGAGTGCAGGGCTTTTATTTTATTTTATTTTTTTTAAGTGCCGGGACTAGGCTGGGACTGGGGGTCAGGCAACCATGGGGGCTTCTCCCATGGCTCCCCCTTCCTGGGGAGAGGCAGGCACAGCTGGTGGAGCTGTGGGAGAACCTGCAGCTGCCCGGCTGTGCCTGCCTCTCCCCAGCCAATCCGAAATCACCGAATCTCTCCGAACCAGGACCGAATCCTTCAAAGCAGATTCAGCCAAATCGATTCAGGACAGTGATCTGAATCTCTGAATCACTGTCCTCTGAATCAATCAAATCCAAATCAGAATTGAATACATCCCTGTTCGCACAGGCCTACTGTCTTGTATTTTCAAGATATGCCCAAGCGATTCAGGGACAGGATGAACGCTAGGATGCTGAAAGAGAAGTCCATCACATCAAGTATGTTGCCAGCTGGCTCTCTCTCAAACTTTGAGTGTGTCTACATGGCACAATATGATACCATGCAGAGATGCTCAAGATATGCTATTTCTGGGACTCAAGCTAGGTAGTTCAGGTTTATACATTCACAGCACTGCACTCCCCAATGCGGCCACGCTTCATACCAAGCAACTTCTTTTCCCCACAGGAAGTATATATTTATTGCTGTGGAATAAATCTAGCTATATAGGAAATAAAAGGAAAACTAAATGGGAGTGTGCGGTCACTGCTCAATGCCTCAGGATAACCCAGTCACTGCCACTCAGGAAAAAATGGAACTCCTAAATGACTATTTTGCCTCAATCTTTCACAAGACCAAGGGGAATGACATGCTAGGTAGGACACAGAATGAGCAGGGTGGGATTGACACTGCTCCCACCATTGCCAGAGAACTGGTGTACGATCAATTAAAGAAACTGGACTACATATATCAGCAGGACCAGATGAACTCCACCCAAGAGTGCTGCAAGAGTTGGCTGAAGTAATTGTAGAGCCCCTGGCAAAGATCTTTCAAAAATCATGGGCCTCTGGAAAAATCCCAGAGGACTGGAAGAGGGCCATTGTTGTGCCCATGTTCAAGAAGGGGAAGCGTGAAGACCCAGTAAACTACAGGCCAATTGGCTTAACTTCTATTCCAGGGAAAACCTTAGAAACATTAATCAAAGAAGCTATATGTGACACGCTTGCAGAAGACACAATATTGAATGACAGCCAGCATGGCTTCATCACAGGCAGGTCTTGCTTGACCAACCTCATTTCTTTCTATGATCAGATGACTCATCACCTAGATGAGAGAAAAGCGGTTGACATCATATACCTTGACTTCTAGAAAACCTTTGACCTGGTATCCCACAAGGTACTGATTAGAAAACTGGAAGATATTGGGCTCAACTGCGGGACCATCGAGTGGGTGCAAAACTGGTTGCAGGGTAGGACACAGAGTCCAAATGAATGGATCAGTGTCATCCTGGCGAGAGGTGGGCAGTGGCGTACCCCAGGGGTCGGTACTTGGTCCAGAACTGTTCAATATCTTCATCAACGACCTGGACGAGGGGGTGAAAAGCCCACTAGCCAAGTTCTCAGACGACACCAAGGTATGGGGTTGTGCAGACACACCTGCAGATAGGCTGCAGATACAAGCAGACCTAGATGGCCTGGCATGTTGGGTAGAACAGAACCAGATGAAGTTCAATGTAGAGAAATGCAAAGTGCTGCATCTGGGAAGGAAGAACCCCCCCAGCACACCTACAGGCTCGGCATCATTCACCTGACCAGCACTACAAACGACAGGGATCTGGGGGAACAACAGACCCCAGAATGAATATGAGCCAGCAATGTGACGTTGTAGCCGCTAGGGCCAATAAAACTCTAGCATGCATCAATTGATGCATCTCCAGTAAATCCAAAAAAAGTGATTCTCCCGCTTTACTCAACATTGGAGCAGCTGGAGTATTGCATCCAGTTCTGGGCACAGTACTTCAACAAGGATGTGGCTAAAATTCGAGAGGGTCCAGAGAAGGGTCACCTGTATGATCAGGGACTTGCATGGCAAGCCATATGAGGAGAAGCTGAGGGATCTCAGACTCCTCAGCCTAAAGAAAAGAAGGCTGAGAGGGGACCTGATTGCAGCTTATTGCTATAATCAGAGGCATGCATCAGGGTCTCGGTGAACAACTGTTTACCAGGGTGCCCTGGGGGAAAACTAGAAAACGGCCACAAATTCCTGGAAAATAATTTCAGGCTGAACATTAGGAAAAACTTCTTTTCAACTAGGGTGTCCAGACTATGGAACAAGCTCCCTCTTGAGGTGCTGCAATCATCTACCCTAGAGGTTTTCAAGAGAAGACTGGACAGTCACCTGGCTGGGGTCAGCTGACCCCAGATACCTGCTCATGCAAGGGGCTGGAACTGATGATCCTTTGGGGTCCCTTCCAGCCCTATGGTTCTATGAAATATATTTATTGCTCCATCCGAAACAAAGAACGTAACTATAACAAACACTGTCAAAGCTGAATTCTCTGTTCTGTATCTGAATATCTTGGGGTTTTTAAATTGAGCATGATAATCCAGAAGGAAGAGAGAAAAGGAGATGCTTGTGTTTGTGGGAGATGGAGAGAAAGACAGAAGAGTAGAACAAAAAAGTAGAAATTAGTAATCTAAATGTGTATGGCTAATAGAGAGCTCAACATCAATATTTGCATTGACAAAATATTACTTGTACGTATTAAATACAGCTCAGCGCAATAAACTGCAAATATTTTACCCTCAAAAACAGTTCTCCAATCAAAGTTACTGCTTAAATTATTATTATATAAATTATTGGCACGTCTCAAGTCAAATGAAAAAGAATACTAATATTTCGTTTACAATGCATAAAGTTTAACATTAAAAGATATTTACCTTTCACAGAGATCTTTCTGAGATAAAACCGAGATGATGTATTTAACTGCCTGAAGAGAGTGAAACTTAAGATGAAGTTACATTTTTAGAAAGCATTTTCAATATCTGCAACTTATTTTAAGAGGGCAAAATCCCAATCTGAGACAGTGAAGCTAAAAAAAAGATGATCTGCATATAATGTTTCAGACAGACATGCAAAAAAAATCTAATTAGGCAAGCAGCTTGTAATTATTCCATCTGTTCTTGTGTTAATTAAATTGTATGTTGTTTTTACACAAACCATAAATAAATCAATATACAAAAACAATTAGTTATAAAAAATATTTATAGTCTGTCAATCTTGTACAACATATGCTCCAAGTAAAATTATAATACAATTATTATTATTAAGAGTTTCACATTTACATTGCTGTAATTTAAAAATGAACAGGAGAATTAGATTTAACTTTCTATACCCACCCAAAAAGTTTAAAAGAAACAAAGGAAGCTCTAAGAAAGATCAATTTCTAATGTTGCAAATTAAATATGGAAAAATATCCCCATATTCACGCGCACATTTTTTGTTCAGTTGCTTTTCTCTAACTTTGTTTTTTTCCCCCACATGAAAGATCCTTGTGTTTCCAGTAATAACAGATTGAAATTTAGTCATTTACTTCAGCTTATGAAAAACTAGGTCCTTGCTTCAAATCTTCACAGAAAAGAATTCAACTTTTTATTTATTTATGTATTTGATAAACATGAATATCAATATATAATTTCCCCCAGAACATACCAAGAGTAATTAACCCACTAAACAAATTGCATACCTTCTTGAAAATTACTCCCAAAATCACAAGAACAACTGGAAGTAGTAACGTCTTCGTGTACCTTAAAGGAGTCTGAAATACAAATAAACAATTTGATTTGCTTCAGTTATAATTCTGTTTATTAGTCAGCTTGAAAGCTGCTATACTTGATACTTCAAGTAAAATATTCTTCCTCAAGATAACCAGAACTTTCAACATTAGCAGAAACAAAGTTGGTTGAAAACAAGATTTAAGAATGAGCCCCACCCAGCTATCCAGGGGGCTGTATAAATACTCACGTGGCATTAAATTAGGCAACTATGGTATTTATTTGAATAGAAGACAACCCTGATTATAGGATGACTTCCCAATAACACTCCACAACACCTATGAGCAGCACTTTGGTACCTACCTATATGTAATACAAACTATGCATGTTATTAGCCCAAACCCAAAGGCATAAGCAATTTACCACATCATTTATTGGGTTAGGCCTCAGCAGAGTCAACAGCATGTCAAGTCATGGTGACCCCACACCACAGCTCAGCACTGTTTAGTATGTGCGTGTACTCTAAATACCTCTCACAAAGGATTTATATGCCAATTAGGCCCCATTCATGATTAGAATTGGGTATTCTTGTCACCCAGTGACAAAAATGTATATGAAGATGAGGGGCAAGGCAACCTGGTCCAGCTTCACCTCATGAAAGGTAGGGCCATACTAATCGTATAAGTCAGGCTGAGAGAGGGGGGGTGGCAGAGGGATTCTGAGTGAACTGTTTGGGGCCCCAGTTGGTAATGTTTGTCAGGCTTTTAAGGCTGGTGCAGAAACAGGAATAACTGGAAATGGAAAAGAATGGCGCAGCTCAGCTGTGAGAGTGAAGAGGAAGTTGAAAACATGTACAGTGTAGTGGCTCGCTACAATTTTAAAAGAGTTGGCAATGTGGGAGACCGCACTTAATGGGTACTACTGTGTCTTTTTTTTCAAGTGGGCTGCATTAATCTATCCTTGTGGTAGGTTTCTAACAGCACGTTTGCCCAATGTGGGCCATGTGTTTTAGTCATGCTTAGTGTCAGCTACATTTAGTCAATTTCATAACTGGTTTTCATTGCTGAACACATGCTATTTTTGGCAGCAGTTTAACAATAGAAAATGTATTAAGTGAGATTTCCTTGGATGCAATAACAAGACAAGGGGCTTTTTCCTAATATCAAATGGGGGGGAAGGGGGCATTGTTATGTATTCAAGTAAATATGGTAGTCCTCTGAAGTTTTCAACTTCTATCTTACAATCCCTTTTGGAATCTTTTTTGGAAGTTTCAGTCTTATCTCAAAGCAAGCTGTTATAATGCCAGAATTGGACGGTAGATCACTTCAAACAGAGTCACTTTAAACATTTATAATGTATCATTGCTCTAAGGCATATCTTCAGAACAAGCTTGTTCCTCCTAAAAGCTTATTGACTAACTTGAACTATTTTCTGCCTAGAGAGCTCAGCAAATGTTTGACCTTGAGATGCGGCTGTAACCAAAAAACTTCATGCTCCTCAACATTTTACTGAGGATTACATAAAACAAAAAAGCTTCACTAAATTTAAAGTCAGCATTCCTAAATAAGTACTTATGCATATGGCAAGTCCATACGCATACGTCCATATGCCAAGGCGCTTTAAATAAAAACAAACATCAAACCAATTCTTTTTCTACTTTCAGAAGGATCTCCAATGGATTTCAGTAACTTCACTGAGCATTTAAAACTGCTTTAAAATGTGGAAAGAAAAATCTTGTTTATAACAGTATGAAGCTATGTGGCTCTCAGATCTGTTGGGGAAAAGGGACAAACTAAGAAACAAAAATTATCACTAAGTTATCACCTTTTTTAAATAATTTTTTCCCCCTCAAAATTACCTCTTTGTCCATGAAATCAAACTCCACAGCACAGGTGTACATCAGTGTATCAAAATCCTTGTAGCCAGTAAATTTTGATTTCAACAGATTACTTATATGAGCCTGGTATAAAATACAAAGAAGAAATGTAATGAAAGATCAGAAACTGAATATTGTAACAAAGAACTCTATCATAAACACTTTACTATTCTGACAAAACCTTAGGAATTATTTTACTACTGTAAATGCACTAAAATGCTATTTAGATAAATTAAGTTAAAGTTAAACAAGGGCAAAAAATGATAAGTGCTTCTACATAAATGCCAGAAGCCTAAAAAAAACAACAGATGGGTGAACTGGAATGCCTACTATTAAATATTGATGTCTGACACAATAGGCATCTCAGAGGCCTTGTGAAAGGATGATAATAATCAAAGGAATATTGTCATACCAAGTTACAAACTATTTAGGAATGGCAGAGTAGGATATGCAGGTGGAGGTGTGGCACTATATGTTATTGATAGTGTACGCAGTAACACCATAAAAATCTCGTCTAAAAGGAAAACTACCACAGAATCCCTGTGGGCAGAAATTCCATACTTGAATAAGATACTAATGGGGCTGTACTGCTGACCACCTGACTGGGAGGTGAAAGTGATTATAAAATGCTCAGGGAGAATAGAAAAGCTAACATAGGACACAAAATAATAATAAAACTTCAGCTACCGTCACCATAGACTGGGTAAACACCTCATCAGGGTGTAAAGTGCAGATAACATTTTTGGATGTAACAAGTGACTGCTTTCTAGAACAACTTAGCTTGGAAACCACAAGTGGAGAAGCAATTGTAGACCTAATTCTGAGTGACACACAAAACCTGGTTCGAGAGGTATCTGTTGGTGAGCTACCTGGCAACAGCAATTAAAACAATCACATTCAATATTCTAGTGGGAGGAAGTAAGCCAAAAAGTCCACCACGCCGATATACAACTTTAGGAAAGGTACACAAAAATGAGGAAGATAGGTAGAAAGAAGTTTAAAAGGAGCAGTCAAAAATGTAAAAGGCCTACAGGAAGCTTGAAAGCCGTTCAAAAATACCATATAATAAAGCAGACAAGGTTCCCTGGGTGAATTTGATATCTTTTATTAGACCAACCCAAATGGTTGGAGAATAGTTATTAAGCAAGCTTTTGGGTTCAAAAACCCTTTGTCAGGCTCAGGAATATATATATAATAATAACATATAATAAAGCATGAACAGCATGTGCCCCCAGTGGCTGTGGGGGGCATGGCTGTGCTGGCAGGGCACAGCTGTGCTGACAGCAGCAGGAGCGAGCTGGGAGCTCCCGCAGACGCTGCTGACACTGTCAGTGGCGAGGGGGAGGGGTGACAAGGTCCGACCAGGGGTCAGTAACCACCCACAGGTGCCACCAGCAGCGGTAGCGGCCATCATGGACTGCCCGCAGATGCCACCGGCAGTGTTACGAGCGGTTACTGCCCGCAAGTGCTGCCGACACTGTTGGCAGTGGTTTTTTTGGAAGGGGTGCACTGCCACACTGCACACTGCCACACATGCACCCGTGTGTACCCCCTGTGTGTTGCCCCTGTAATAAAGAATAAAATCAGCAGCCATGTAGACAAACAGGAGCTGGTGGGGAAGAGTCAGCTTGATTTTTGTACAGGGAAATCATGCCTCACCAATCTGTTAGAGTTCTTGATGGTATCCCAAGCAAGTGGAAAAGGGAGATCCAGCTGATATAAATATATCTGGACTTACAAAAAGTCTTCACCACCCTTCACCTCCCTTTTGACAAAATCCCTCAATAAAGGCTTTTAAGTAAACTGAGTTGCTATGAGATTGGAGGAGAGGTTCTTTTGAGGACTGACAGCTAGTTAAAAAATAGGAAGCAAAGGGTAAGACAAACAGTTTCTTTTCAGGATGGAGGGAAGTCAAAATCAGTATCGTGCAGGGATCTATGCTAGACTCAGTTTTCTTCAACATTTTCATTAATGGTCTGGAAATAAGGGTCCACAGCAATATCTCCAAGTTTGCAGATGATACCAAATTATTCTTGGTAGTCAAATCCCAAATTAAGAGAGGAGCTGCAGAAAGATCTCACCAAGCTAAGCAAGTGGGCATAAAAATGTCAGATGAACTTCAATGTCAACAAGGGCAAGGTAATACACACAAGGAAAAATAACCTCAACTATATGTACACAATACTTGGTACTGAAGTACCTGTTACAACTTAGGAAAGGGACCTTGGAGTCACTGGTAGCTCTCTCTCTAAAAATGACAGCACAATGTGCATCAGCAGCCAAAAAAGCCAAATGTTGTGATCTTAAGAACGGAATCAAAAAAAGCTGAGAACATGACTTAAGAGGAGACAAGCCACTCACAGAACTAAATTTCAATTGAGTAACCTTTTTTGCATCTTTGAAGTGGCTTCCACATAATATCTGGGATAAACGTTGGAGTCTACATAGTACGAGTCACAAGAAGATAAGCTGAACAGTGCTAGTTAAATAAGTGTTTCAGAACTGTCTTAACCAAAATGTTTCACAAAAACAGTAAAAGAACTTTCCCCATGGGGAGCTGAGCAGTTAGTAAAAAATTCTTGTATGTGACTGACGTCAGCAACAAACAATTCCAATAAAGATTCTGATTCAAGACAAGCACTGAAAGCCTAATGGCAAAGCCTTTGTCGTTATATGAAAATGAAGTATGAATCGTCTTATGATGGCACTCGGAACCATATTCTTGAGGGATAATCCATAATGAATGATTACAGAGGAGGAAATGGGTATGCAAGCCATCTCCCATTTCTGCCTAGAGTAATCTTGACTAGTCCTTGGAGTCTCATGACTATTTTAGATCAGGGATTTATTTCCCGATTTACTTACTGGTTCCTCAGTGGTCTGAATCTAAAAAGTATCAAATACATTAAAAGGTAAGAAGTAACTTAATTGAGGTTACTGTAAGACAAAAGCTTTACTGATAAAATAGGAGTGTAGAAAATGATAGATTGTAAGCAAAATTTATTAATTCAATGGTTTTACAAAGAACCTTTTTTTCTTTAGTTCTGAAAATAGTTCTACTAAATTATTTTGCACAAACCTGTCAGCTACAGGTCAGTAAAGCTTTGCTTTTTTATGCTGAACCCCTCTCTCTCAATATTACAGTGGCGTGATTAAAACAAGAACAAAATAGCGGCTTAGTTTCTAGTTTAAACACTTGCTTAAATGTCTATTTCAATCAAGACAAAAAGAATATAGAATAAATCAAAATCTTAAATATTGCCAAGTTAGAATATTTTACTAATAGAGAAGAAAGTATGTTTTAAAAGGTTAAACAGAATATAAAATAAAAGTAAAGATAAAGGCTATAATAGCTGACATTCAAAAAAGGAAAAAGCACTTACATCATCAGCTACTCCAAACATTAGAGAAGTCAAGCATTTCAAGATCACAGTCCCAAAAAGCCAAGCACATCCCTCAAGGAGCTAAAAATAAACAATATATTCATATTGAAGGAGAAGAAATAAAAAGGTTTTATTGAAGTTGATCAAGAAGTTCAAAAAAAGTAATTGGAAGGAAAGGTATGAAAACTGAGAAAAATTATAACTTGAAGTGTTACCAAAAGATTTTCCTATTGGGACTAAAAAAAATACAGTGCTTATTTCTGCACATTATTTCAGTGCTTAGTGATGTCCACTACACAGTGCAGTTTAGTAAATAATAGCGCTGCACCAATAAAGATTTTTTTGGACGATATCAATAGCCGATTATTAACCGGCCATATGGGCAAATACAGATCCAATTGCCAATATGCAGCCCAGCAGCTTGGAAAACAGCATCTGGCTGGTAAGTCTGTGGGGGGGAAGGAAGGGGAATGCAGGGGGGCAGATCAAGGCCCCCACAGTGAGGGAAGGAGTAGGGCTGGGCCAGTGGCAGGTGCTGCCCAGATGAGCCAGAGCAGGGAACAGGACAGAACCACCGGCAGCTTGTCAGGGGAGAGTGGAGGGGGCAGCTGCTGCATGCACACCCATGGGAACCCATGGGGGTCTGGGCACAGAGTGAGGGTGGGCTCGGGGCTGTGTTGGCTTCTTCCCAGGAGAGGGTCTGGGCCAGGACTACACTTGGGGCAGGCAGAGGTGGCGCTGGGAGGGGTGGGCTAAAGGGTTGGCTACAGTCACCCCAAAGTTCTCCGCAGCCCCCACTCATCCTGAGCAGAGCCCCAGCCCAGGCCCCAGCAACAGCCCCCCCCTCACCTGGTGCACAGATCCAGGGAGCATGTTCCCCATATACCTCTCCTGGGGGTGCACGCAGCAGCTGGGAGCTGCCCCACGCCTCCGCACACCCCAGATGAGCCACCCGTGGCTGTCTTGAGCCCTGCCCTGCCCCAGCCCCAGGGTAGTGCCTGCCATTGCCCCACTCCCTCCCGCACTGTGGGGGGTCTTGATTTGTCCTCCTATGCTCCTTCCCCCCGCCAGACTTCAGACGAATACCGCTCTCTGAGCTGCTGAACTGCATTCCTGACTGTGTGCATGCATGTGGCATTTAATCGGCAACGTTATTGGCCACATCAGCCAATAAAAAAAAGCAGATTGCCAATAACATCAATTTTCCGTTTATCTGTCCCGATATGATACGGACAGATATATCAGATATAGTGCATCTCTAGTAAATAAATATTGGAGCTAGCTTACATAGCAGAAAGAGTTAGCTATGGTAGCAGGGAGCTCCATGAAGAGTAATTTACCCTGCTTCTCTGCTATGTGCACACTACACTGAAGTGTACCATGTTAATGTAACTTTAGAGTGAAGATTTCCTCTTCTCTGTTAGTACTTTAAAGTATGCAGTTGATAGAAATAAGATTGTTTCCATAACATTATTTTATAATCTTCTGAAAATATTAATAAAAGTCCTGAAAGGATGAACAATATAAAAAAACCCAAACAAACCTGAACAGTGTTGAGAATGTGGAATGCAAACTGCAGTATGCATGTTTGAATTTAAAAGCTCATTCTAATTTTATAATCTATCCAAGTTTGTTCATCCTTTATGAAAAAAGCTTGGTAGTCTAACAAAAATTGAATTTTTCTCATTTCTCCTGTCCTTGGTAACTACCCTCCTCAAAGGGCCATTTGGCTTTGCAATCAAAAGGATGAAATACATCTACTGGCTGTGTTCAAATGGAATCTAAACAGATTGGCTGTTTTCAGCAAAATCAAGACATTTCCTCAACCTCAAAGTAGCAGGAAATTGCTATTATTTTTTAATCAGACCAGGTTTTTAGGAATGCAAGGTAAGTAAATACTTTTTTTTTTTTTTTTAAATGATACAACACCCCCCGCACCTGAATTATGATGATTTTTCTTTACTTTCTTTTGCAATATGAGTATGGTAAAAAGCACTGCTTTTCACTGGTAGTCTCTCCATGATGGTGAGGTTGTATTATTATAGTTACCCAATTCTTTGAAGAAATTTACCAATTTCACATCCTGTTCTCAAGCTGAACTCACATTGTCAAAATGTTTCAGTAGTAAAAATATGTACAATTTATGCTTATTTCAGATATTGGATCACCTGGATTGTATAGTTATTGCATGTTTTCCTTGCTGTACATATTTTTCTTTTTCACCAAATCTGGCATAATTTCTCAGATGTTGGGCTATTTTACTTGAAAATTTTTAGTTCTTATAAGACTCAGTATTTTAAGCACATTGAAAAAACCTACAGATTATGTGGCAAAAAAGTAACTAGTAGCCCTTTTATAACCATTGGAGGGAGAGGGGAACCAACACAACACTTACCCATAAAATAATTCTGCTTCCACTCATTTTCATAAATTTGGGCCTCACTTTAAGAACACCCTAAAATAACAATTAGAAGTGAATGCATATATTTTATAGAATATATCCATTATACACAGTAGCATGCATTTAAAAAAAATGTTTTTTATATGACACCATATAAATGTCTGTAAAAATTAACTTTCAAACCACTATAATAATTTGAAGATCATAAAATACGATGGTACAGTTTTACTGATACTCAGACCCAAAGGTATAGAATCTACAATAACTGTTTTAGTAGTATATTGTGGCCACTCCTTTTTGTTAGATGAAATTCCCTAATCCCCAAAATCATGATTTTGGGATCAGCAGTAAGCTGACTGAGATCTGCTCCTTGGCCAACAGGGACCACTTCAAGATGCTGCCTTTCAGCAAGTGAGGACTGCACCAGGGCCAGCTGGAGAACCCAGAGCAGTCCACCTTGCTATGGATTCAATTTAAGGAGCAACGGAAGTCCGCCACAAAATTATTATGCGTATTTTGTGGAATAATTTTGTCACTTACTTCCTGTTTTACTGAACCATTAATTGCCCAAATGTGTGGCCAGGTTACTTTGTAAAATGTGATGACGGCTAGGGACAGACATTACACATAAACAGGTTTAAGTGATCAGAAACTGGTTTAAACCTGTAACAGAACAGATGTTCAGTGCACATAAACCAGTTTGAAAGTGGCTCAAACTGGTTTGATATAAACCTGGTTGAATGTAGTATCAGATTTAACTGGTTTGGGTCAAACTGGTTTATGCAATGTCCAGTCATCTGCCAGGCTTCTTTCTGCTAAACAGGGATTATTCCCACCCCCGCCCCTCTGCTTTACACAGACACCTCTCAGCATTAGCTAGCAGACCACATGCTGGCTACAGTTCATGCTGTGGGAGATAACAAAGGCAGACAGGCTTTTTGAAGCTAATCAACAGGTAGCTGATGTCCTTCCTTGACAAAGCTGTTTAAGAAGAGCTTGAACTAACAGAGAGAGGCTTTGTTTTCTTAATGGGTTGCTAAACACTGAGTTAGGGGGTGATAAACATTCCCTACTGGGCTTCTCAGGAAAGGAGGCGGGGAGCACATCAGAGCGTCCTGCCAGGGCCTGGCCGTACCCACTTCAGCTCAGTACTGTGGAAGAGAAGGGAGGGCTGCTCTAGCACCTCCCAGCTTTTAGCTTGAGCAACTGCAGGCATGTAACTGAATTTTTTTCAGTCCAGAGGGGATATCCGTAGAGTTACAAACCAGTTTAGCCTAGCCATGTTAGACTAATCTACAAAAGACTGAATCAATTCAGGCTTAGGCTTTTTGAATGTCTGTCCCTAGCCTAACTGGTTAATGACATCTTAAGTATAATGTCTACCTGGGGCCTTACATTAGTATTCATTCTGTTCTGTATCTGTGACTTTTGCCCAAAAAATCTTAAATAGAATTAAGATCAAGGGGTTTTGTTGTTAATTTTTATACTACTTGATCTTCAACCAAAAAATTACTTTAAAAGGGATGCTGTAGCTTACTCATGCCATGTAAGTTAATCATGTGATTTTCTTAACATTTGATAGTTCTTTTCCAGCACCTAAATAACCAAATACACTTCAAAACATGATTATTCTTTATAGCCTCATACAAGTTTCTATTTTTTGTGCAAAAAAGCCACAATGAAACTAAGCAACCTTTTTTTCCCCCTATTCCCCAAACACCTTAAAAATTCTTTGTCAGTTACATGAAAACAATCTTTCCTTCTAGTTAGTGAAATCTAAATTTTCCATTTTGTGTATCAATCCATAAAACTGTGCAGCTACGTGCTCCTACTGCAGCAACTCTCAACCAGGGCACTACAGCAGGTGCTGAAAAACATTAGGTATGCAGGCACCTAGACACAAGTCATTAGATAAACCCAGAGATTTCCGATAGGAATCCAGAGTCTCAAAAGCATTCTGACTGGTTAGTGAGAGTTCTTTGAAATGGAAGAACTGCTCTGTTATTTTTGTAGTAAAAAAAAAAAACAAACAAAAAACACAAGAGACAGCTAAAAGCTAGCCTTTTTCCTGGGGTGCCTCAAGTCTAATGAGGTTGAGAACCATGGTCCAAGAGCAGCAATACTCAGCCCGCAGCCCACACACCAATTAATACTGCCACTGCTCATCAACCACCAAATTTCCAGGCCTGTAGGGAGCCCCAAAGCCTAGATGGGTTGGGAACCACTGTCCTAGAGTATCTCAGATGAATTCTCTTCTGAAATAACTTACCCAGATAACTACTAAAGAAGCAGCATAATATGATGTCAACAACATTGAATTCCCAAACATAAAAATGAAACAGAGTAAAAGTGATACCTGTAACAAGAAACACAAACAATCATTAAGCTTCCAAATAACTCTTAAAATTTTGCAGCATAAAACTTGATAGCAATACTTATATTATGGTTTTAAATTCTGCATCAGTATCTACCTACTACACAGGAACTCAAAACTAGATTCCTAATTTACAAGACTATGGTATGAAAGGTTATTTATAAAGGTCCAAAATGGTGGCAGCATAATGAGCATGTACTAGTGTAGAGGTGATGAACCTCTGGCCCATGGGCCAAATGCAGCCCATGGAGCCATTGTATCTGGCCTGCGGGACTTCCCTTGGGTCCAGAAATTTGGTAGCAGGGGAGCAGTGGCTATCAATATGGCCACCCTCCCCCAGCCAAATCCCCAAACCCCATTCCCTGTGCAGCCAGTCAGAGCAAAGCTAGCCAACTTCCCCTAAGGCCAGGCCACACCCCACAGCTTCTGGATTGGGGTTAGGTTGGGGCCTTCCCTTACAAGGCTGAGCCATGCGCCTTCCTCCTGTGGGGTTGGTTAGCACTTGGCCACATCGCCCAATGCCAGGCCACACCTCTTTCTCTCTCTGCAGGGCCAGGTTAGGACCCAGCTACACTCCCTCCTTCCCCTGCATGACCAGGCCATGCCCTCTTCCCTCCTGTTGGGACTGGGCCATGCCCACTCCTAAATTTTTGAAGGCAGCACAAATGAGAAATCATATGATGTCTATTCCCATCCTAAGGAATAAATCTGTAAGAATCTATTAAAATTCATTGGATGGAACAACAGGACAAAGTTAAATTCAGAGAATGAATAGGAGACATGTGACAATACTGGGATCCTTATCCCAGTAAGCACAGGCACAAATAAACAGTTATTCCACTTAAAAGGTGGGGAGAACTTAACACAACACAACTACATCTAAATGCAACTGTTGTATTTCCATTACTATCCCATGATGGGGGAAGCTGAACTGCAATAACTTACCCCATTTCATTCAGAGCTAAATTACTGGGATTTTGCTTCACTTACTGTGGGACAGAAACTGATAAACTATGCAGTTACACTATACTGAATAACATACAGTCACAAGTGGTAAGTCACTCCCCACGTTTAAATGATATAATTATACCTATGCTCATGCCGAAAGACAATCAATTGTGGGGAAGAAATTGTAAAAATGACAAAGTACCATGTAGGAGAAGGAGAACCAATTGAGACTTTTTTTCGTCATAAACCTATATAGTAAGTTATTCATTCAAGTGGATGGGTTATAGAACTTTTGATTCTAGGTCATTTTCCCTAAACCAGAATATTTTTAGAGACTGCATTTCTTACAGTATAAAGATGTTTAATGTAACTAGAAGACCATAACAACCTGCAAATTCCATAAAGTATTAGAGTCAGATGTTTCTCGAAATAAATACAGTATCTCATAACTACACAGCCAGTCCCTAACAACATAGGAACTCATCTACTAAGACAACTGCAAAAAAATAAAAATCACTTGGGGGCGGGGGGAAATCAAGGTCATAGCATGAATTTCACCTGGTATCTTGATTTTTGATATGCTTATTTCTTTTTTTAAAATATCTGCCCATCAACAGGTGAGCAAATTCATCCCATTACTTCTCCTATATATTGAAATGATTTTGATATAATGAATAATACCAGAAAGATTTTGCAGTTATTGTATTGTTCTAAGTCTACCTTCTTTCCTTCCAAAAGGATGATAAAAAGTCACAATAGACATTAGGTCAACCTATGATGGAGTCCCTGAGGTGCTGATTTGTGTATATGCTGTCTTTGTGTGTGCAATAAAGAGACCAAAGTCAGATTTTTTTTTCAGTGCAGTTCAGTGGAAAAATCATTTACTTTTCTTGGGTGATGATCTATAGATGAAGTGTCCCTATTATGCCTCCTCAGTTATAATTAAGAATTCTTTAAAAGAATATATTTTGTATATTTTCAAGCAACTTGGTTCCAAACTCATTGCTTGTAGGCAGTCTAAAAAGCATAAGCCTACAACACAGCTCTGGGGAAAAAATGTAATGATTACAATTCTTCAAAGATTTAATTTCCAGCCTCCTCTGTGATATTTAAGTAACCTTTCACAGCATCAGGCACCAAGCTTTTGACATTATGAGCACTGACAGATCTGGGGGGGAGAGGGTGAGAAAAAACAACAATAACAAAACTAAACTAAAACAACAAGTTCCATCAGAAGCAGCAGCATATTACTTTGACCTAGCTCCACAGCATCTGTATAGATCAGGGAGCTCAGTGGGGCTTTTTGGCCCTTTTAGCTAAAGTTGATTCAATCAGCTATTAGATAAAGCACAAAAAAACCCACTAAGGTGCCCAATCTCAACAGACATAGGGAAAGCCAGGTACAACTAATGCACTGCCTCTTCTGGGCATGTGCTGGGTTTGGCATGGCAGTGTGCTGATTTTAAAAGTAAAGCGCTATTCGGGGGGG